TGGGGAATAATTTTTGTTCTAATCTACCTTAAAGGCTCTCTGGTATGTCAAAGGTCCTCTGGGGCTTTGGAAGCTTGCATTGGAAGGCATACAACATTGGGAACCCAAGTAACACTATAATGTTATTGAACCATTTTCTTTTCTTTCTATTTTTTTTTTTTAATCAGAGTCTCACTCTGTCACCCAGGCTGGAGTGCAGCGGCACGCTCATGGTCACTGCAGCCTTGACATGCTGGGCTCAGGTGCTCCTTCCACCTTAGCCTTCCAAGTAGCAGGAACCACAGATGCACGCCACCACACCTGGCTAATTTTTCTTTTTTTATTTATTGTAAAAATGAGATCTCTCCAAGTTGCCCAGGTTAGTCTCAAACCAGCGGGCTCAGGCAATCCTCCTGCCTCCGCCTTCCAAAGTGCTGGGATTATAGGCATGAGCCACCACACCCAGCGAACCATTTTCAAGGCATATTTTCTTTACTTGGCCCCAAAAGGTTAAAATGACTCAATTTGTCAAAGTTCCCAAAGTTATGTGGGGAAGTTGACAGACGATGTGAACTCAGGAAAGGAAAAGAAAGTAGTTTAGCAATATAGCTCGTAATCCAGGACTGTGCTTTGTTCTGATGTGGAATCTTCCTCAGTTCTTTTCCTGCTGCCCTCAGAATGAAGGTCATGCTCCTTAGAATGGTAGTCAAGACCTTTCACAACTGGGCCAACCTTATCCTCCAGCCTCATCTTGCCTCCACTTTCTCCCCAACCTCCAGCCACACTGGCCTACTCAGTGTTTTCTGAACTCTGAATATGCAGTCTCCCTATGTCTTCCCCTGCTTTCTCTTGGTGAGCTTCTATTCACCCTTCAAGGTCTGGCTCAAATATCACCTCTATGAAGCCTTTCCTTGCCCTCTTTTGTGCTCATTACATTTGGCTCCTGGTGCTCTTGCAGGGTCCATCACATTGTATAGCTCACTCTTTCCCGATTCCCTTTCTTTTTCTTTTTTTTTTTTTGAGTTGGAGTCTCACTCTGTTGCCCAGACTGGAGTGCAGTGGCCGCTTCCAGCCATCTCAGCCTCGACCTGCTGGGCTCCAGTGATCCTTCCGCCTCAGCCTTCCAAGTAGCTGGAACTACAGGCGCGCACTACCACGCCTGACTGATTTTTGATTTATTGTAGAGATGAGGTCTTGCCAAGTTGCCCAGGCGGGTCTCGAACCCGCGGCTCAGGCAATCCACTCACCTCAGCTTCCCAAAGGCATGGGATTACAGACTGAGCCACCGAGCCCGGCTCCAATTCCCTTTCTAAACAGGGAGCTCCCCAAGACCAAGACTAGTTCTGTTTCTGCTCTGAATTCCCATCACAGTACCCACAAAGTCAGCACTGTGTTTGTAACTGTGTGCTGCATGAGAATGGGTGGATGAGAAGGGGTAAATTCTTTGAGGTTGAAACAGCTTGATCCTATCCACCCCTTTCTTCCTGGGAATATTGACATTGAGAAATTAACTACTTTTGAAGAACCCCTATCCATGTCCTATTTCCTGGAGTAGAAATTCCTCTTATCTTCCCTTGTCTCCTTGCCTGACACCCTCCAGTCCTGGAGCCTGGTCCTGGCTATTCACAGCCAGCCTCTCTTGGCTGTGATGTTGGTCTACTTGCTACGATTCCTACCCATTGCCTGCTGCTAAATTGCCATATTGGCATAACCTTTTGCAGAGCCCTGTACAGGCTGATACCGGCCATCTCTGGTAATTTCTGTCCCTGCCAATTAAGTCCATGGCATATATGTGGGTGAGTGAACACAGCCACACATAGCCTTTCACTTGGGGTGATTGATTGATTCCCTGGCATTGTGACTGGAAAAGCCTCTGGTGAATGAATAACAGACATTTTTATTTTTTCGAGTCAGAGTCTCACTCTGTCACCCAGTTTGGAGTGTAGTGGCCACTGCAGCCTCGACTGCTGGGCTCAGGCAATCCTTCTGCCTCAGCCTTCCAAGTATCTGGAACTACAGACATGCGCCACCATGCCCAACTAATTTTTTTGTTTTAATTGTAGAGACGCGGTCTCGCCAAGTTGCCAGACTAGTCTCGAATCCTTGGGCTCAGGCAGTCCTCGTGCCTCCACCTCCCAAAATGCTGGGATTACAGGCATGAGACACCATGCCCGGCGATTAACAAATATTTCTGCTTTTCTGTCTTCATGTAGACATGGGCACCTCTGCCTTCCTGGGTTTTTTGTGTTCTCCAGGGTCCCAGCTCTCTGAAAATTATGGAGTGGCCAGGACTACTGTCTGAGCACTGACTGTATTAATTAGAGTATTCCACACAACATTGCCCTTGACTAAGAAAAGTGGCTATAGCCTCTTGGGATGAATTTATTTGATTTGTCAGGTATGAGTTATTTAGGAGCAACTAGCTTTGTAGCACAATGGACTTGATGACTCACCTACACCAGGCTGGGTGCTGCCCTGCAGAGCACAATATAGGCTTTAAATTAACGTATATGATTGTCTTGTGTAGCCAGAATACATACACAGAGGTAGGTAGGTGTGACACCTTATGTGATTGCATGTAAGTTTGCTTCCTTTCACTGAGTTTCTAGGTACTGCAGGTCAGAAGGTTTCAGCATCTCAAGAAAAATATTTCTAACCAGGAAACACAAAGATGATTCTGCTGGATTTCAGCATTTCAGGCTCCTCATAGCACTAGAGGAATAGAAGAAGGTGCAGGGGGTCACAACATAGACTGGACTGATAATGGCTATCAGGGGAAAATGGAGTTACTACTGTTTTTTTTCAATAGCTTTAGGGGGTACAAATAGTTTATGGTTACATGGCTGCATTGACTACTAATTAATGAGGATTGAGAGGAGGTGTATAAGTGGAACCGAAGGGACCCCTAGGTTACCACCTGTGCTATTCTATTAATCTGGATTCTTTTGATTGTCATTGAAAGAAACTCCACTAAGTTAGGCTTGGCAAGATAAGGGCCCTCACTGGAAGGCATACAAAACCTCAGGAAACAGGGACTGGTACATAATCAGAACTTCTGTCCTTCATCTCTGCTTCTGTAAGTCAGCATCATTTTCTCCTCACTACAGACTGGCTTCTTCCATTTGACGGGTAATATGAATGTTGCAGCCCTAGGGTTCTTCCTTGCTTCTTCTTCTTTTCATTTCGTTTCAGAAAGTTCCAGAGAAGGACCCTGATTGGCCCACCTGGAGTGGGGTTCCTATCTCTGGGTTCATCAGGCTCTCATTTGACCCATGTGGTTAGAGTTGGGAGTGACAGAGCAGAAAGGAGAGGCAGAGCAAACAATTAGATGACTGTTTGGTCCTGTGGTATGGGAAAGATTGCATAACCCTAGACCACCAAAGCTCAGAGCCTCTAGGAGTGAGGATTTGGGTCACCTCATAAGGAGGAAAAAACCCTGGCAGAAGGTAAGAGGAACTTGCAGTGGAAAAGGGAAAGGGGAAGACTAGTTTGCCCACAGGATCTGAGGTGGAAATGGGGCAGAGGTCTCCATCTCTATTTTCTTGACTGGAGGAGTGTGCAAAATTTGAGTTACTTCTGCTGCCTTCTTTTTATTTCCTTTTCCCTTTCACAATAGGAGTTGCAATAATCATACAAATTTCATTTCTCTTCTGTTTCCCCTATTTTTGTATGTAGGGTTTGCAGGGAGAGTGTTTTGTTTTTGAGTCAGCTCTTACTCTGTCACCCAGGCTTGAGTCCTGGGCTCAAGAGAGCCTTCTGCCTCAGCCTCCCAAGTAGCTGAGACTACAGGCGCATAATCACCACACCCAGCTAATATTTTTTATTTTTTGTAGAGACAAGGTCCATGTTGCCTAGGTGGGTCCCGAACTCCTTCCTGGGCTCAAGCAATCCTCCTGCCTGGGCCTCCCAAAGTGCTGGAATTTCAGGTGTGAACCACTGCACCCAGCCTACTGGTGTGATTTAATTTGCTATTTAGTCTCTCAGTTGCAGAATAGTGAGCTGGGATAAAGTTGGAACTGGAAGAGGATGCCACATATCATTAGGGTCAGTGATTATTGTACTCTCTTTGATTACAAACTGGGCCCCCAAACCCTACATATTTCCCCTAAAGTGAAAGGGAGTATTAGAGATCAGACTTCAGAAAAGTAGAACTTAGAGAAGAATCCACTGGAGTTTGGAACTCAGGGCCGCCTTGTTCCTTCTCATCTGGGCAAACGTGGGAGTTCACCACAGGGGCACCATGGAAGGGCTGTTTCTTTTTAGGGAGAAAGCCAGCCATCCTAGGAACAGGACGTTACCCTGAGCCCTGTTCCCAGGCTGGATTTTCTTTTCTTTTTTTTTTTTGAGTTGGAGTCTCACTCTCACCCAGGCTGGAGGGCAGTGGCACGCACATGGCCACCGTAGCCTCGACCTACTGGGCTCAGGTGACCTTTCCGCCTCAGCCTTCCAAGTAGCTGGAACTACAGGCATGTGCCACCATGCCCGGTTGATTTATAAATTTATCGTAGAGATGAGGTCTCACCAAGTTGCCAGATGATCTTTAACCCGTGTGCTCAGGCAATCCTCTCACCTCGGCCTCCTAAAGTGCTGGGATTATAGGCATGAGACACGGCGCCCGGCCTGGATTTTCTTTCTTAAAATGTAGCTTTCATTAAGTGACTTTAATCAAATATGCACAAAATGAATCTATAATTCTAAATTGTGCTAAATGCTATGAAGAAAAGGAACGAAAGTGCCCTGACATAATATAAAAGGGGGCACTCATGTGCTCTAGGGAGTCAGAAATTTCTGAGAAGAGATCCGAAACATGAGTAAGTGGGGTGGGGTGGGAGGGATTTCAGGCTGAGGGAACAGAGTGTGCAAAAGCCGCGAGACAGAAAGAAGCATGAGGAAGGGTACCTGCAGAGCGGGAGGGTAAAGGATAGCGTTGCA